GTCCAAGTAGGTACTAATGAGCTCAAATCCAGCCCCCGGGTAAGCGTGGTACTCGCGTACGAGCCCGCCAAAATTTTTTCCAGGTAAGTTCATAACTCGGGGGCCTGAGAAGCTAGAAATCTGAAATCTTGGGGGGCCACGGAAGCTAGAAAGCTGAAATTTTAAGGGGATGTTTCATGACAGTTCTGGCGGCCAGTCTTGATTTGTTTAGCTAAAAGCATTTGCCGAAAAAACCGGTGCTGGTGGCAAAAAAAACTGCAAGGAACCATGCAAAAAAAGCATCTTCGCACGGGCAATCCGTGCGTTGACCAATTATTTCCTGTGTAAAGTTACCACAATGCTTACTTCTGTAACAAATGATAAAATGTTCATTATTCTTCTCAACAGTAAATCAGCGCATCTAGAAAGCAATTTGAAGCTCGGCATCTACAAACGCAAATAGCAGCTAAAATGCAAAAACCATCTGGAACAATTACCTAACAGCCAGAACAAACTTTTGCCACAGCAACCATCTTTAATGAGAGATTAACATGCGGCGCCTTACAAACAAAAAAACAAAGAAGTTTTTGGCCAATTAACTTTTGAAAGCTGAAAGTGGCCCGTGATCATAATAATTAAAACACATTTGGAACATACACACACAAACAGGGCCTCTATAAATGCAGCTGTCACAGTAAAAAACGCAAAAAAAATGTGGGGCTTTGCTTCTTTGCAGTTTGCGAAGACTCAGCATAGGCAAGGAATACGTGCATAAAGTTTCTGAATCCATTTATGATATATAGAGTATTTCAGCCTTCCAGAGTCACTCGTTTTTGAGCCTCCACATTCCCTTCCCCTTAATACACCGAGTTTCGGGTGCGATTATCAAAAAATTCCTTTGCTTCTGCTTGCTAAATGCTTCAGAATACTATCAGCTGCTCGCCCAGACTAAAAACGGCTCGGTCGTTAAAAACTTACTCAGTGTGGAAAATTAGCTATTTCAACAAATCAGCATATATTTAAATTTTATCAGTAGCCAAATCTCAGTATCCAAATTTGCAGTGCCCAAGGCGCAGTGATGCCCATTAATCTCCCCACAAGCGATGGATTTGGAATTTGCAAAAGTTTAAAGGTATTTAAGCAAGAATCCTCACGGCATGCTGCCTTTAATGGATCAGTCTGGTCTTCCTTAATTGAGCTTCGCATGCTGCAACAATCTGGTAGGAAGATTCGCCGTCTTTTTTTGGCTCTTGTGGTATTTGTTTCGTTTCTAGTAGTCTGCTACAGCTTAAGCTCTGCACATAGAATGGTTTTTGTGGGCCAACAGTACAACATCAAGCTCAGAGATTCGGAGTTAGATGATACGATGTTTCGCAGTGTCTCTACTAAATTTCGGAAAAAACTGGAAGAAACTGAATCACAGTCGGCATGGAGCTGGCTTCAAATTCATATTTCACAGTTCCTGCGAACTATACGACGTCATTTAATGGCGTTTTGGTGGAGGCTGTTTGTGAAAATAGATTTGCGTAAAGTTCCACAACCATGGAATTCTACGGCCAATGTAACAGAAGAATCGCTGATCATTTACAAAGCTTATTTGGACCAGCGGCTTCCCCAACAAACTGTTATTCGAATTTTGGCATTCAGTCGGTGCCGAAATCTCAGCGTTGTGCTACGTTACCACTCGCTTTGTATCTCGGCGAAAGAGGTTACCGTGGAATACGACTGCCCTTGGAAATGGGGAAGAACATGCAAATGGTTCTCTTTTCTCCTCCTTGTCAATATGGAGGAAACGAATTTTTCATCCACTACTGTAAGTACCTTTTTGTCTTGCTTACTGTTGATTGAACAATAAATTTTCTAGTTCCTCCCGTGCAGAATTATGGCCCTAAAAAAAAAGACAAAACATTTCATAGGAGATGTGGCGCCGTAACAAAAATAAAGTGGCTCCTGCTGCTGGAAACGAGTAGATGCTAAAAAATTGCAGATTCTGCTCCCAGCATTTTGGAGCAGGTGCACGCATAATATTAATAAAATTGTCACTCAGCTCCCTATGACCTGAGTGAGGACTTTATTAATATTATGCAGTTTCTGAAAAAATTGTTGATTGCTAAGATTGCCTAAAACTTAAAATCTCTGGCACGTTAGGCATATAAGCGTTACACGAAAATAGATCAGAAAATCTGAATTAACTTTATTACCAATTGGTTTGATTCAAAAATTGAAGCTTTGGTGGTTGTGCGAATTAATGGATCGGTCACCACTTCCAGGGATAAAGAACTTAACAAAAAAGAAGAATTTCTTCCCGGTTCAAACAAATTAAAGACTAATTTCTTACTCTCGCTGACACAGAGTCAAATGCTGTGCGTAAGTAGAGTTGTTACACATTGCTACGTTTGAGCCGCATTGCGTTTGGTTCGCTTTTTAAATAGCTGGTGTTGCCGCAGCAGTATTTTACACTATTTACATCGTGATAAAATTGGTTCTAGGGCGTGTCATATGTTGTCTTTAACGAGTAAGTAAAGGAACGACGCAAGTTTAAATCACTGGCGATACGCGCAGGCGGATCCGTGCGATCATGCGTTTTTGCAGTATTTCTGTAGTAATATCGTTTGGAAACGCAGTAGCTAGAATTTGTGACAAACTGGTCCTCGAAGTTCGGGAAGTTAAATGTGCAACTAAGTAGTATTTGGACAGGGAACATTTTGTTAAAATTTTAACTTTCCAACTTTTCTGGTTCTCTTGTTAATAATTTTCCCGCTTAAACTTTCACTGCTGTACATGACTAGGAGGCATACCTGGAGGCTGAGTTTGAAATCCTTAAGTTCTGCGTGGGCTGGGAACAACCCTTTAAAATTTCAGCCTCCCAGGATCCCCAGTTAGCAATTCTTCCCACCAAAAACCTTCACGGGACCACACATGAGAACCACATACACCGAGGATCTGAATTTGATAATTTTAAGTTATACATAGGCTCAGAACATCCCTTTAAAACTTCAGCCTCTCAGCTTTCCTAGTTTCAAGCTAATGATTTTCCTGCCAGGGACCCTTTACGGGGCCGTACGCGGGAACCACGTACACCTAGGGGCTGAATTTCAAATCTTTGAGTTCTGCTTGGACGAGAAACATAACCCTGAGAATTTCAGCTTCCTAGCTTTCCTGGTCCCCGAGTTGGCGATTCTCCCGCCAAAATTTGCACCCTCTCGTACACAAGGCGCAGAATTGCGTGAGTGTTGGTACTGCGGTCCTGGGGTGCCATTTGGCCGGGGAACCCACTGGGAAAATTTTGACGCTGGGCTTGGTTGCCGAGTTGAAATATCCGGACAGACGAACACACACACACACACA